CTATAGCAATCTGTCAAATACCACTCACTCACTGATCACTAGAAGCCATAACTACTCAGAAATTGGCATGGAGGTTCCAATCAACCTCTAGGTGTTCAATAAGAAGAGTTGTTCTAGAGGGCTCTGCCCCAGTGGCTTATAAAGTTCCCATGTTATCATTATGGAGAAAAATATTTGTTTACATTTGAACACATGAATACTTTTGAATTTGCACAATTAATGAAGGGAAAAGCTGGTTATATTTTATTACATGAAATTTGTGAAATGAAAATATTTACACTATTATTATTATTTTTCTTTTTTTTTACAATCTGATCTTTAAATATGTTGAACAATAAAATAAGTAAATGCCATATAACACAACAAAGAAGTTTTCGTTAGTGAAGCCACGGCGGGTTCGCTAGTCATATATACATATACTACATTGTTATTATCGTTGGAAATCAGTTTTATTTTATTTGTTTCCAGCACTGCAAACTAACCGCTGGACTTGCCTAAGGGTATTGGTGTTAAAGGGTAAATAGATACCTCCATGTTATTGACTTTTTATGCGTTTGGACATAAAAAAACTATACGTTCATTATTCATTGTTTAGCCGACTTCCAGATGGTTTGATTTCTATGTTTGACGGAATGTTTTCAGGATAACTTATTTATTTTTCAAACTACGGTAATCAATATATCAGTTTCGATATCAATATCATATTTGGTACTCTTTTGCTTATATTTATAATGCACAAACTGTAGCATATAAAAAGTCATGTATTAAAAAACTTGTTAATTATCACGTTGTTTTATTATAATTTTTTTGTCAGCAAAATTTTAAAAACTAGTGGCCCTAAAATGGACAAAATGTAAAAGAACTTATTGTAATATAATTGAACAAACTACGAATCAAATTATGTATTTGTCAAGATGGATATCCCTGTACACCATATCTTTGTGTAAAATGGTCTCTCAGTTTGCTTATTACACATTGACTGTTTACAATTAACATATGTTTTTCTTCTCACTTTTAATTTCTAACAACAGCTGGCGTTTCATAACAATGTTTCCCATATTTATAATCTTATGGAGAAATACGAGACTTTAAAGGGCCCCAGGGCCTCACCCTCTAATTATTTTCCTAAAAAGAAAGTTTCCTGCACAGCTTCACGTTACGCTCTTTCCAATGACACCAAAAACATGTCAATCGGTTCAGTAGTTTCGGAGAAGTAATTGTCACAAAAAAACCTGCTTGCGTATTAAATTAGTACAGTATATAGATATTTATTTTAATTTTCCCCCCATCTATTCTATATATAATTCAGTTTTAAAAATCTTTGTACAACTAAATCTAGAGTTCTACTGGACCGATTTTATTAATTAATGGGTCGTTGGAAAGCTTAGGTCGGGTAGATTTGCAAATAATTATGAAAGTTTGTTTTTATTATGATCTATGGTGAAAATTTTCAAAAAAACATGTTTTCCATAAGAAATACATTGAAAACGGTGTTTTTCACACTTTTTATTTGGGTGCGACTTTTAGCTGCCTTTTTTTAGTGTTTCCAAGAAGTGTATGGTATCAATTTGTAGGAAATTTTATTCTCTTTCAGAATATCACCTTCCACTTTGGTCGATTTCCTCACCATTTAAAAGTTATTTGCAAAAAAGCTAAGCAACCTCCGAATTTATAATAATGAGAAAATATTGAGTTTGGGATATTTTTGTTAAACTTTGTACAACTAAATCTAGACTTCTACCGGACCGATTTTGTTAATTAATGAGTCATTGGAAAGCCTTACTCATGTAAATTTGCAAATAATTATGAAAAGTTGATTTTATTTAATATTTGTGGTGAAAAAATAAAAATAACAAAAATACATTAAAAACTGTTTTTCAGGTTTTTATTTTCAAGTTTATTTTTGTAGCCAGCTTTTGGCTGCCTTTATTAAATAATTTCAAGAAATACACAGAAGGTATTTGTAGGAAATTTTATCTTCTTTCAGAATATCACGTGCATTTTCTACGATTTACTCACCATTTAAAAGTTATTGTCAAATTAGATAAGTGACCTCCAAATTTTTAGTTGTTAAAAATACTGAATTAGGGATATTTTTGTTAAACTTTGTACAACTAAATCTAGACTTCTACTGGACCGATTTTGTTAACTAATGTATTGTTTGAAAGCCTAATTTGTGTAGATTTGCAAATAATTATGAAAGTTAGATTTTATTAAAAATTTGTAGTGAATAAAGAATAAAAAGCAAAAATACATTAAAAACTGTTTTTTTTATAGTTAATATTTTAAAATTTCAATTTATAGTTAACTTTAGGTTGCCTTTTTTGAATATTTTCAAAAAAACGTCGAAGAGTACTTTGTAGCAAATTTTATTCTCTTTCAGAATATCACCTTCCACTTTGGTCGATTTCCTCACCATTTAAGAGTTATTTGCAAAAAAGCTTAGCAACCTCCTAATTTATTGTGGTGAGAAAATATTGAATTGGAGAGATTTTTGTTAACTTTCTACAACTAAATCTACAGTTCTACTGGACCGATTTTATTAATTAATAGGTCAATAAAATCTGTGTAGATTTCCAAATAATTAGTAAAGTTTGAGTTTTATTTATTTATGGTAGTAATACGTTTGTCGGTATGAATAATCAAAAAATCTTTATGGTAGTAATAATGGGTTAGCCAGTATGCATCATCTGATCATATGGAACACATGTATTAACCTATAGTTTAACAGCTGATTGTTTTATTGTTATTTCCTTGATTTTTCTTTGTTTACATTTAGTTGTTTACTATTTGAATTGGTGGTTGAGGTCCGTAAAGTGTGTTTCTAAAGTGATGTTTTTAATCTGTACCATTAATAAGTATTGGTAAGTTAAGTGATGTATGGATTTCATAACCAAAAATAATAATTTTAAACTGTCAATTATAAATTATTCAAATTTAATTTATAATTCACAGTTTAAAATAGTATTTAATATTCGTTATTTTAAACTGTTAATTATAAACTAAATATTTTACATTAGTTGAAAAATGAATAACTTTACTCTTCACTACATGGTTGGTGATGGAAACTGTTTCTTTAGAAGTGTCTCATTTTTATGCCATAAATCTCAATCCAGATACAGTGATATACGATCCACGGTAGTTGATGAAGTCGTCAATAACTGAGACTACTATTGTCCTTTGATCGTAGGGGATAAGACATATAGACTAGAAGTAAAAAACGCGACGGAATACAGAAATTTGATGACCAAAGATGGGGAATACGCCGTTAATGTCAAAATCGAAGCTGCAGCAAGAGTTTTTGACTGCCAATTTAAAATATATGCTGAGAAATTGGATTATTTTGTAACGGTTGGTGAAGGCACAACGATCTATAAACTAGGATTCTCAGGAAATGTGGATGCTGGGCATTACGATGTTTTGATAGAACAATAGTATGCCTGAGAATCAAGAGGATATAATCTTACCAAAATCAAAACGTGGCCGTGCATCAAAAAATAGAAAAAGTAAAACATGTTCTGGCAGACGTGAATCAACAGCTCATAAAAATAAATTGAAGAAACCAAATTATAGTATAGATAAAGATTTACTACAAGGGGTAAAAGAGTGTTTATCAAGCAATCAGGATGGAGACCCAGAAAATGAAAAAGAAACAGAACAAGATAGTCTGACCAACACTTCACTCAGAGATGATGCAACTTCCTCAACCTCCTTAATTTGTGTATTGGGAATGCCAATACACAAATTAAATTTAAAAATTGTAGCTGTAATAATGTTGCTACGAAATCTTAACAGAAATCGGGGGTTATGTAATGGCACACAATTAATTGTTAAAGAACTTTTAATAGTTCCCAATTTTAATAGTTAATAGAAGCCCAATTTAATAATTGCAGAGGTTTTAACTGGATCAGCAGCACGTGAAATTGTATTCATTCCAAGGATTGACTTAGCACAGACGGACACAGATTTACCATTTGTTTTAAAAAGACGGCAATTTCCTTTAAAATTAGCGTTTGCTATTACAATAAACATAGCGCAAGGCCAGACATTGGATAAAGTTGGGATATACCTTCCAGCACCAGTATTCAGCCATGGACAATTGTATGTTGCAATATCAAGGGTTAAAAGGTTTGAAGACATAAAAATTAAAATTATCCCTGGCAAAGAACAAGGAAGATTATTAAAACAATCAGATGAAGTCTTTACAAAGAATGTTGTTTACAAAGAAATACTGTAAATAAAATATTTTTGTAAAATTTTAATTGTTTTTCATTATTTTACTCTTTTAGAAAATCAGTTTATTTTCTAAACAATTTCATTCTTTAAAAAATGTTCAGGTACTTACAAGGGCATATATTATGTACTACTGTACTTTCTAGGGACCGTTGTATTTAACTACAACGGGCTCTGTTGCTAGTTATGTTATAAGAACCTGCCTACAGCCACTGATCTTATGTATCCAGCAATATACTTCATTAAGCTCCAGGCATTTTACTATGTCCCAGACATATTTTAGCTAAAATACGTTTCAGGTTTCAGCAATTGTGACAATGATTGCTTTGATGGTAGCAATAATCACTAGTTACCTTATTTTTCTAAGATTTCAATAAGATCGCCTAGCATACAGAAACACGCACAGATCGCTGTAGTTGTGTGTAAATCTCATTACGACGTCTAAACTTTCCCCAGTGTAGTTGGTGTTGTCGCGTATCACTGTGATCGCTACAACAATGCCAGAGTGGTCTTCAAGGCGCAATTACAATTCCCATTGTTTACAACTTTTTGTTCTTTGTCTTCTCGCGTGTTAGTGAACTACCCGTGGTAAATCTAGTTCGTTTCCGCAGTAAACCTCCTTAGTTTCGTTTCGGTTCTCCCTAGCTTCGCAAAAGGTATACAAGACTTCAAGTTATTTCACAAACCAGGCCTTGTTAAGGTGTGTGCGTGTGTTTTTTATCATTTTAATATGGGCGTGGATAATACATACTCTTTAATACATTTTTCAGCAATCGCTGAGAGATCAAATGAAGGCAATTTCAAGGTACGTTTCTGTATGGCTTATGTAGAGAGCGTTTTCTTTTTAATTTCATTTTTAATCTATATACTTAATCTAATAAGAGTTTTCTCTGTTACGTCCATTTTCCAGCCGTCCTGCTTTACCGATGTTTAAGATTGATGTGGCATTTTAAACCTACGATCTAACGCACCTGTGAATGGTAATTAAAAAGGCGATTTCCCTTATGACTTCGTCCCCCTAACGATTAACCTATTTCTAGGGCCCATTTTCATGAGCCAGTTATGGTGACCAACTTTCTTTATTGCTGTAAATGTGAATTGTAATTTAACAGTTGTTCCTTCAGTTGAATGTTCAACAACAGTCAGATTGTTGACAAGAGACTAAACAGTTTAGGAAAATGTAGTTTAAATAGTCTGATTGAAGTAAGTAAATCACTCTTTATAGTGTACTAGCTGTTACCCACAGGCTTCAACCCGTTTGACTTCAAAGTATTATAAAAAAACTATTGATTGGTTAAGTTAAGATGAAATAAACAAAACAGAATACAGCATTACAAACAAATAATCACACCAGATTTTAATAAGGTAATAAATAATTGAAAGAATAACATACAAATAAGAACAGCTGAGGTATTTTTAACATTAAGTATATGGAAAGGTCCCTTTGGAAAGCAACTAAGACCTTAAAGGGCAATTTATGAAAAAATGGATAATTTTGCGCAAGGTTTCTCGTCATGACGAACATTTTAAGTATATGGTTTATGGGGATGTGACTTGTAGTTTTCTCAAAAGTTCATGGGTACTTTTGCCTTTATAGATATCTATAATAAACAAATTTATTTTAAATTAATAGTTATAATTTACCTACTAATAACTGTTCTAAACAAACATAATCTTGAAAAGGTAAATGGTTATTTCACTGGTTTCATTTTTCCTCTGAAACAAGTCTCGGACCCAATTAAACTGAGCAATTAACACACTGCTCCCCTCGATTACTTTTGTTTTACCAATATTAAAAATAGTTTAACCAATTAGAACAAATTATTTGTGAACTCTGTTAGTTTAAACTCAATAGTAAAGGAAGCAGTGTAACTGTTATCCTAAAATAAGTGTAAAACTTACATTCAGCATGACTTACTCACGCGTAACTTTGTATCGAATACATAACCAACACTTCAGATGTAAGAATATGATAAGACGTTCGCTTGTAGTATCCATAGTCAATGGTATTGCTTTGGTTGGTAACACCATAGACCCACCAACCCAAGGGAGTATGTTTTATTTATGGTGACACTTATGCTGGCTGGCATTGATTGCAAACGCGGATTATCATATTCATGGCTTTAGTAATTTGTAAATTTTATCTTAAATATACTTTAATGTTAGCTATAAACTATCCATATTTATATTAGGCCTAATGTGATTGTGTCAAATTAAAAAAAAAAATGTCCCCTTTTACTACAAATAGGGCAGTTTTTTCTGTCAATACTAACAAATTAAGTAATTAACCTACCAAGTATCTTAACAGTCTTACGTATTTTGCTTCTATATAGAATCATAAAAAAATCTATGTTTCCACACTATTAAGGCGCGTGTCTGTTGTAAGTATAATAAGTATATAGTGTTGTTCATAATGAGTTCTTACGCGAAGAATAAACTTTACGTGACAGGAAGCTAGACACTCGTCAGAAGACTACAGACTTTCATAAATATCCTGAAACTTGTCCAGGAAATACAGTTAGTAGCAATTATTCTCTATAGGCTACTACTGTATACATATATGGCTGGAGCAACTTCATACGCCGCTATGCACTCTCTATTCAAATCAATTCGTTTGGAGGTACATCGCTTATGAAATTTTGATTTGAAAACTAGATGTTAACTGTAAGAAAATACCATGAGGTCCTAAGTTTGCCTCAATAAAGAAGCATTTTTATTTAATTTCAACATTTTATTCTATCAATAATAACTTGATTTGTTGCATAGGCCTGACATGACTTAAGTTCAATCACAATTTGTACTGTTCTAATGAGATTATTAGGTGTTGAAATTTGATTTTTATAATCAACCGTTCGTGTTTAATTGACATAGGATAAAAATAATAAGGGAAAGCCTAGAAATACTTTGCATGTTTATACACTTTGTCGAAATACTATATTTCACTACTAGCGGGAAACACTATTTCGCCCCGAAATGGGACTTTCGTGACGAGTATTGAACAATAATTTGTATCACGATGGAAAAAACTACCTACTAAAAAATTATCTGATATTTCGTAGTCTTTTCATTTGTCTAATCTAAACGTACAATTAATTAATTCAGTTGTAACTTTGTTGAAGTCAGGCAAAGTATTGTTTTTGTAGCGAAAGTAGTTTATGTTAGGAAAAGCCAGCTGATCACTATTTGTTTTTAGTGTATGGAAATTGACTATTTTTGGAGATCTCAGCTGTAGGGCCTATAGAAATGGGCTATTTACAAATCAGAGTGATGAAAATACTTTTTCAAATTTGATTTTTATTTTATAATTGCAAGCCACTAATGGTCATAATGGCATCAAGAAAACCATTTAAGGAAACAATAATAAAACTCATCGATGTTTATAAAACATCATACCGTTACGTATATGACTCTGTGTTTTAATGTAAAACAACGCTACACAAAGATAAACAGCCTGGGACACCAAAACACGGAAATTATGAGACAAAACAAAATTCGTGACAGTATTACCAACAAAACAAGGTCATTGTTACTATCAGTGAGTTATCACCATCAGCTATCAGCTGTTATCGGACACTACTGTCTGACCTCTGCACAGCTGACTCGGGTTTTCTAAGGACTCTTCATGTTGTACGAATTATATTCTACACCTACGTGTCAATAGGCATAGGTATACTGTATATTGCCATGATTCAGCTGTACGGAAAACAACGTTGTCCTTACATTCGATTAGGGGAACTCCCTTCATTAAAATTCATATTATAAAAATAACTAGCTGTTGGTGCGTCCTACGTACGGGAATAAAGTAGTCGATTATATCTTAATGTAATCCAGAACAGCTATTTTACACGCATAAAGAAAGATTGTGGTAGTTTTAATAGGGAAAATCATCTTGTAAACTAATACCACGTGGCCATCTATTTCTTTCATCTGATTACAGGCCTATACGATATGCATTTTAAATCCGATAGTTTTACAATAAAACAGTGATTGTGTTAATTAGAAAACCCTTGAAGTGGGATTGGCGGTCGATTCACACACACTGGTTTAAAGTACAGTAGCTACATATTACCTTCCATTGCCTACTATTACTTAAAGAGTACCTTATTTTACCTCAGTGGCCACTGAACCCTAAAGAAGATTTTGGCCTCTGATTCCCTCTTATCCCTTGCCTCTTCTTTCATTGCTTGGTCCTCCAAGTGGTCGTCTTACTTGTGGTGCTTCTTCCTCGTAATGCATTTAAGTTTATGTATCTTCTCTCCACCACGCATAGCCTGTCCATCCGAGCCTTTTACTTCTGGAAATCACCTATATGGGTGTTTAAACATTCCTCTTAGCTCTCTGTCCTTTCGTATCTCAACCTCCATTATCTTGAAAAGGCCCGTATATTTTCTCTGAACTTTATTCTCAAATCCAATAAGGGGTTTCGGTTCTTTGGCCAGGGCCCAAGTTTTCTGAACCACAAAGTACTAATAAGGTACGGTATGAATCGAATTTGGTTTATAGCACACCCTGCAGCTTATTGGTCAGTTTTCTAGAGACCTACCACATTAATAGGCATTTGCTTTACCAACAAAAATCTGGTATACCGAAATAGTTCTGACATCTTATCTATAATATTAAAACGAAACAGTGTTTTTTTACTTTCTCCCCCTATACCATAGTATATGGAGAAAGTATTGTTTTCGTCAAAATTTTCGAGTTTGAGTTTTGAGTGGATATATTCGTTTTGGGTCCCCCTGGACCCAAAAAAGTGGTTTTCGAAGTGATGTCTGTGTGTGTGTGTGTGTGTGTGTGTGTCTGTGTGTCTGGATGTGTACAGAGCTAGAGACTACACCTGTGGTCCGATTTCGATGAAATTTGGTATGTAGGTTCTAATCCATGGTATCTCCAGGCGTTTTTTCATTTTTTTGAAATTTTTATTTTTAATGGGGATTTTCCCATAAAAACCCATAAAAGACCGGAAAAATCGGATTTTCTAAAAATGGCCCGAACGATTTTGATAAAAATTTAGTATGTTGTAGCCCTTTAAATTCTGAATAAAATGGGACAAATCCCATTTCTGTAAAAATTACGGTTCAAAAGTTATGTTCAAATATGTTATTTTCCCATAAAAACCCCATGAAATAACGAAAAATAGGATTTTAGAAAAAAAATCCGGTTTTGATTTAACATAGTATGTTATGGTCCTTACAATTTTGATAGTTTTTTTTAATTTTTTAGAAATTTTTTAATGGGGATTTACCCATAAAAACCCCATAAAATAATGGAAAAAAAGGATTTTCCCAAAAATGGTCCAAACGATTTTGATAAAAATTTAGTATGTTATAATCCTTTATATTCCGAACAAAATGGTACAAATCCCATTTCTGTAAAAATTATGGTTCAAAAGTTATTGTAAATTATGTCATTTTCCCATAAAACCCCAATAAAATAACAGAAAAATCGTATTTTCCCAAAAATGGCCCGAACGATTTTGATAAAAATTTTGTATGTTATAGTCCTTTAAATTCTGAACAAAATTGCACAAATCCCATTTCCGTATATTTACTCTCATCGCTTACACATGATAAAGGTTGTTGACAAACTTATGGGAGAAAGTATGTGTCAGAATGCTGATACCGTTTATTTATTTCACGATTCTGAATCAACCACTCCACGGATTTTCATGATTTTTGTGTTGAAAGAAAGATAATTTTGAGAACTAGGGAATGTCGAAGCCATAATTTTAGTTTAGGGTCCCAGTTTTTTAGAAATTAAGTTTGAATTTTTAAAAAGTCTAGCAGCCGACGCTAAGATTCTAAACTA